TGGTGGGTGCTAACGACTGCAGATGCAGCCGGGACCAACGGCTTAACGTGCCTTGCGAAGCACGGAGGAGCTCGAGATAGTAATTTTTTGGTCACCCATCCAATGACCGACCACTGCGAAAGTTGCTTAAGTTCAACGATCGCAGCCGAACGCGCTAATCACTTGCGCCATCGAGCTCCTTACATCGATTACAGCATTTGCTCACAGATAACTGTGGTGCACTTTTCCTGCCCACAAGGCTCTTCTAGCCTCTTTCTGTGTTCTGAGGATGAGCTCGATATAGTAAGTTTTTGGTCACCCATCCAGTTGCCGATCATTGCAAATGTTGCTTATCTTTCACGATCACAGGCCGAATGTGCTAACTGTATGCGCCATCGAGCATCTCATTTTTTTGAAGTGAAAACTTCTTTAGCGGCGTTGTATACTTTTTTTGTATGGGTAAAAAACGTTAAACTCGCGTCAGATGAAACACGTGGGCTGATCGCACCATGATACATAATGAAACATAGTAATATTTTATTTAATCGTATTATAATAATAAGTCTCTATCTAGGACGTCCACGTGGCAACTTTATTGCAAAGAAAATGCATTTTTTTAAAATAGATGTCGCTAGGTGCGCTTAAATGTGATTCATGTAAGTTGATTTTTCTGAGAGATATATTTTTAATGAAATATAAATTGTCATGCTTGTGTACGATAGCGCAATAAATAAAAATTGTACTCTACCACATACATGATAGTACTTTTTATACTGATAATTAAAGCAATTCGTGCATAATTATTCCCTAACCATTCAAAAATATCAAAAATGCACAACGTTAATATTCAAGTTTTCACTTCTGCCGGCACTCCCGGAGAGCAACCCGTCGTTTTTTTTGTTTGTTTTTTAGAGCCACCCCGAGTTTGATATCCGACCCTTGTGGAGGATCATCGCTAATACAATTGACCCAGAATTCATATTTGGATGTAAATTTTATTGTTCAATAGCATTTTTGAGAGCTGTATAGGATTCGGCAAAATTAAAAAGCATTATATCAATTTATAAACTCCGTGGCATTCAAAACTCTTCAAAAGCATTCCGTGACAGCTGTGCTTCCCCGTACTTTGTTTGTTATCTTTGAACCCTGTTATGGGACCCGACCTGAAGAGGTATTTGTGTGTGGATTTTTTCCTTAATTGAATGGAGTGGAAAAAGGATATAGATATTAGAACAATTGGCTAATTCGCAAGTTTTTCATAGTTATATTTTTATTTACTAAGGATTTTAAAAATTTTACGAGAAAAAATCCAAGCGGACCAGACAGCAGACGGGACTGGAACCCGCACCCTCTGCTATCCGGACGGATGCACTGACCATTATGCCACCGCGGCCCTAACGGCCGTGTCGAATTCTTTCTAGTATTTCTAAGGCTGCAAGGCAGCGCCATCTCTTCGCGTTGTAGGTAACCCACATTCTGCCAATTATTAATTAATGTAAAGTGACTCCGTAAAAGTGGATAAAGTATTTATAAATAAAACTAGTTTTAACGTTAACCTTTTTTATGTTAAATCATTATTCTGGCGATGCAGACCTGAAAAGGCTGCGAAACGTCAATAAATAAATAAAGTTCGTGCATTAACCAGTTAAAACTAGTTTTATTTAATGAGTGATGTGCGTGAAATCCTAAGAAACAAAAAAGTATTTAAAAGTCTGTTGGGCTTATCAGTAAAAAACGACAATAATAATTTTGTTATCAAATGTGCCGCGGAAAAGTTTCTCCGGAAAATTTAGCCTGTTTACATGCAGGTAATCAAAAAATGCTTTTCTGTTTCATAATTTTAGTAATATTATCAACCACTTTTTATATGTCTGAATAGTGAAATCGCTCCCAATTTATTATGTTTAATACACATGCCTGGTACTTTATTTTTCATACTGTCAGAAAACCTGTTGAAAAGGTACTTTTGCCTAGGCTTTGGGCTGCGGATATAAATTGGCCAATATATTTCTTTGACCTTACCGATTCCATAGTTGCAAATGTAGCGTTTTATCTCGATGTTATTTCTAACGCTTCGAGTTGACTTTATGACTTTTGTATGTGTGTTCGCACGGGGGAGCTTCTGTTCCGAAGGATTTTTTGCTCGATAATTCATTGGCGCTATTGAACGTAAAGTTGAAAATACAAGTCGAGAGAATTACAAAAGCACCCTACAATGAGTTTCACTAAGAGCCAAGCTTCTAGCTTATTGAATAATCTTAGCCTTTAATTGATTTCAGTCTCTCTTATTTATCATCTTCACATTTTCAAAAGATAGATGATCAAACTACAGAGATAGATCTAAGAAAACATCGTATTCTGGTAATATAAGTTATTTACGGGATTGTTACCATGTACCTTGTTTTTAGCGAGTTTTCGAGAGTACTCCGTGAACATGGCGCTTGCAACAGTGCCGAAATATCGGAAACTCGCTAATTCGCTAGTTATTCGATTCGAGTTGTAATTTTAAATCACACCGCGGCGTCCGATGTAAAATGTGAGTGTGTTCTCATAGAAAAGCACTTCTGAAACCATGTAAATCTGCCATAATGGTAAGTGACTCGTATTGATAAACAGAAAATTAACAACCCACGTTTGATTCTGCAAGATCATTGGTTACGGTTACTGGTATCACGGCTCCATTTTCGATCTTCGGTTATTGTCACGTAGATTCGATTATCGGCTCATTGTCATTCATGGGATGTCGAGAGTCGAGAGGCCGCTTCGAGTCGAACGCACTTCGCGTTAATTTCCATCATATCTTACCGTGATTCAAACGCTCTAGGTCAAAGTTTAAATTGCCATATTATGACGAGCTCCAGCGACTGAGCTTACTTCGTTTAAAGGCATAATGACTTGTGGAAAATGTGACTTTTCGAAAGCATTCTTCTACTTATAATTGTATAATCAAGTAAAGTAGTGGCCCCAATAACCGACAGGAGCCAGTGATCGTCAATTATTTCTGTGGTCAATGAAAATAAGAGTGGTGGGTCGATCGTTTAATGTTACGCTCGGTGTTACCATATTTAGTGATCTGTAACCTGTACAGGAGCTTTACTCTCTTTCTCTGAAACGAAATTTCGCCATTGACTCTACTCTGTTTCATTTTCGAACAGGCACATTAACTTCGGAACCACAAACCGTTTTCGTGAACGAATGGAATGAGTCATGTGTGAGAGTTCGTTTTATCTGTACTTTTAAGATTACGTTTTTTTACTTGGAAACAATATAGGTAGTTTACGGCATATTTTTTGATGACTTTGACAGTGCATATTGTATGTCAACCTAAATTTGTCGTTTAATATTTTGAAGTATCGGAATTACATTCATTAATAAAAAAATGGTTTATTTGTTAATTTTACATCCTAAAAATGTTTCTCGAACTAAGCAGCCTTTATTAAAAAAGCTCTTGCAAGCATTTTAGGCTTAATTAAAACAAAAATCTCAAAACGAAAATGAAAAGGTAACACTTTTCATTTCGTCAATTTGAGGTTAAAATTTCGAACAATTATCTGTCAAATTCAACTTTTCCTTCGAAAGTTTTGTGAATTAGAGTAGGCTTGGAGAATTTAATTGTCAAACTATTTCGGACGAAGGAATTTTCGAAATGAAAAGGAAACATAGTAAGGAACGTGCGAAATTTCGACCGAAATTTCGTTTTTCGTTGAAATATAGTAGACCTCCTGGGGTACAGGTTTCAGGCTCGTTCGTTACTGTCAATGTCATTGTCAAATGTATGGAAATGGAATCATATGTATGGTAACCTGAACAGTAGCGCTAAATCGACCGTAACGAGAACTAAAAATCAGTACATATTTGGCAATGACATTTCGGACTCGCAAACGTTACGAATTCGATATGGGTTCGTGCTTAGGGTACTGCTCTTGTTTTTATTGATTACAAAGGGTAGTATAGTCATTGGTTCCTGTCAGTCATTGGTGCAACTACATTATCTGATCTCACTGTCAATCAAGGTGTCATTCATTGACATTGTTTATTTGTAAGACTAATATGACGCGCGTAGTTCTAGTAAAAATCTTTGAATTACTTGACAAAAATGTATGGCGGGCCGAGTGATTTTCGCTTTAGCGACATCTAATTCGTAAAGGCACTAGGTAATTTTTTTTTGAATAGAAGGATATTTAGAATATTTTGTTTTATGAATATGTTTTTAATTTTAAGGCGCTACTTACAATGAGTTATTATTTATTTTGTGTAAAAAAACTTTGATCCTCATTTCTGTAAAAAGATACTAAAGTGACGTTTAAGCGATTTTAGTTTTTCACTGACGTTATAATTATATAGATTTTAGTTTAGACTTAGGTTGGACCCAGGTGACGGTTATAGTACTTTAAGTCGTAAAATTAAAACTTAAATAGGATGAAATAGAGGATGAAATTTTGAGCGGGAAATCAATGGATTTGACTACCTCCGTGGCTGCTTGGTTTGTACGCCGTGCGTCATGGTGTCGCCGACTCGAGAGGTCCCGGTTCGAATCCCGGTGGGGGCAGATGTTAGTGTGATGAATACGAGCATTTGTACTCCAGTCATGTTAATATATATTTCTATAAAAATATACTTAAATATGTATAGTATATGTATTATATCCGTTACCCTAGTATCCCATAACACAAGCCTACAGTGCTCGCTTTGGGGCTAGGCTAATTGGTATGAGTGTTGCAAATATCTCTTATCTATTAGACAAGTCCGTCCGTCTGTGGTGCTGTTTCAGCGGCCAAACCGTAAGAGATAGATAAAGAGAATATTTAAGTTATAAGTTAAGAATAGTCTGACAAGACTACAAACCGGATTTGAGTACCGTAGCACTTCCGGTTTTCGAGAAATCAGGTTTTGGTGAACATTTGGTTCACTGGTTTGCTAGTTTTTATTATTTTTATTTATTTAATGGATCGGACGGTTATGCGCACATCACCTTGAAAATCATGGAATCATATATTTACATGATATGTTATTGCCCCCAGGAACAGACTAAGTACACGATGCGGCTGATCATAAAGAAGATATCGGAGGCGAGTGAGGGTGACTACTTCTGTCATGCGGAGAACGCCTTCGGGAAGACATTGAGGCCTGTGTCCGTACGTCTGCGGCCTTCCACGAATCATCACAATGTCACCGAGTGCTGCGTGCAGGTAAACATATACTGTACCCTTAACACGAACCGTTATTATCTATACTTATAATAAATCTGTAGAGATGTCAATTCTGTACATGAAATATATTTAACTATCAGGGGGTGATTAGTGATCGATACTGATGCAAAAAATGCAATCAGTAAAATTTTTGTCTGTCTGTCTGTCTGTGTGTATGTTCCTTATAGAAACAAAAACTACTCAACGGATTTTAACGAAACTTGGTATAATTATTCTTCATACTCCTGGGCAGGTTATAGTATACTTTTCATCACGCTACAATCAATAGCAGCAGAGTAGTGAAGGGAAATGTTGGGAAAACGGGAGAAGTTACTCCATTTTTTAAGCTTCCGTCGCGTGCAGCCTTAATGGTTAAAGTTACATAGAAATCATGTATGACGGAAATATTCTACATAAAATTGTCTAAAAAATATCCCGCAACAGCATATGTCTATCTTTTATGGTTGACTCACAATAACACGTGTAATTATATAAATATTTAATTATGTAATTATATAATATTCTTTATAGCACAAGCCTGAGAACAAAAACTATAGTTTACACTACAGCTCTACACCGAAGCGAAGCGAGGGCGGGCCACTAGTTATCGAATATTTTTTTTGGAGTTTACTCCTTAAGAATCGATTTGCATATATAAGGGGCCCGGTATGAGAAAAATGTGAGGAGTGAAATCTATCGATGAATGACCTCGTTACGTATTTACTGTCTACGCTGTAGCAGCCGTAGTGCTACACCGTAGCACAGTATCGTAGCGTACCTTTATTTTATGCACATCTGAAATTGACTATTGTAAAAAGTTTAATGTAAAATATTTCGTCGATTAGTTATAATAAATGTATATGAAATTAATAAATATATATTTATGTATGTATATTATTTTCGTTAATTTGTTTTTTTATATAGCCAGGTAGGCAAATGACTCTACCCCACCTGATGTTAAGTGATGATAAAGTCCAAACGCGAAGAAGATTCGATCCGTTTGCGAGGAGGAAATTTTATTGTCAAATGTGTACTGATTTTTAGTTCTCGTTACTTCCTTTGTGGCGCTGCTGTTCAAGTTTCCATACAAATTTTGACATTGACATTTCGCACACGCAAACTATTCGAATTCGATCTCGTTCTACGTGAAATGTGAACTGATTTTTAGTTCTCGTTACGTCCTATGTGGCGCTGCTGTTCAAGTTTCCATACAAATTTTGACATTGACATTTCGCACTCGCAAACTACCTATTCAAATACGATAGTGGTTCGAGCTAAGGGCGTACTGTAGCTGTGGTATATTAAAACTTTTTTTTTGTTTCACAAGTAAAATAGAGCTGCGTCAGGGGAATACAAATAAATAAAAAAGTGAAAATCGTCTTAATTACACATCTGGGACTTTTGGTAGGGACTGTTAGTGATAGTTGTTAAAATTGTTGAATAATTGATGAAATTTTTCATGGTGAATAATTTTTTTTTTAAGAGTTAGGGATATAAAAGTCTACTATATTTTTAAGCATTAGTCTGCTCTATTTAACTAATCTACTATTCACTATATTTTACTTTTCTAAAATTAGGTAAGAATAAATTAATAATAAAAAATGGTTGCGTCAAAAATTACTAGAAGATTTTTTTTTACGTTTAAAAATCTAGCAATTACATGTTTAAAAATTAACAAATATAAGAATAAATTACTATTGCTTTTTGCAAAAATATGAAAATGATACAAATTGAAGATAAAAAAAATTGATTTGATATCCTTTTATTATTAGAAGCATCTATTTGATTGACGACCTCGTTGGCCGAGTGGTTTGTACGCCGGGTTTCATGGCGTCGCCGACTCAAGAGGTCCCGGGTTCGAATCCCGGTGGGGGCAGATGTTTGTGTGATGAATACGAGCATTTGTACTCCAGTCATGGATGTTTAAATATGTATTTCTATATAAATATACTTATATATGTATAGTATATGTATTCTATCCGTTACCCTAGTATCCCATAACACAAGCCTTATAGTGCTTACTTTGGTGCTAGGCTAATTGGTGTGAGTGTTGGAAATATTTATTTATTTATTATTATTTATCTATACCCAACCGCCATGAATCGCTAGTTTAAACTATAAGGAAGACACATTATTACAAGCTAGTTCCATTATGTATTAAAACATTGAGGTTGATATCACTCGCAACCCAGTTAAGAGTTTCGATATTATTAATTAATATTAGTTTTCGAACTGATCAAGTGTAGATTGTGAAGTACTAAAGTTATTAATAAAGCTTAATAATCAATTATGTGAGCGCTTCCCACCGTGGCAGGTACGTCAGGTACGAGCTTTATAAGAGTTTGCTATAACTTAATTGAATAACTTTGCCTTTAAGTAAGCTTTGACTTGACAAATTTAAACAATACCTATATAGAACTTCTTGTAGTTTCTAAAGTATCTAGTTTACTTAAAACTTGAAACAAAAGTCAAACGGGAAGATGATAGAGAATCTGTTGAATTGGCAAACTTATGCGGAGTTTGTGCGTTCCTTAACAGTAATAGGGCCCGTGCACACCACGTTTTTTAAACGCTCTGAAACGTGCGTCGACGGCTCACTTTTAGGCGCTTTGCAGACGGCGGGGCGGAGCGGGCCGGTCAATTTCGCCGCGAACGATAGCACAAAGCGAATCCTATACTACAAACGCACACAGAGGGCAAAAAGACCGCGCCTTGGGTGCCCGGCGGGCACTGGCATCGCGGTATGTCCGCGGCTGTCCGCCGTGGATCATACAAACCAGATTATATGCAGTAACGCAGACGGCGGCGCGGGGCGGCTAGCTCAGTCCGCGCCACGCGCTTTCTAGTGATGGACTATTCACTAGAACGAACGTCCTGAACTACCTCTGCCCGTCGTGTGCTTTGTGTACGCGGCGAGGGCAGCCGCAGACATCGACGGGCAGACGCGGTTTTTATTGCTTTGCGGACAAAATGCCAGCCCCGCCCCGTCGTCTGCAAAGCGCCTTATACTACAGAGGCAACGAATTAGAAATAATATGGAATACTATCACAAATATGTGTTGTCTATGCGATAACCTGCATAAGGATCATTCTTCCTCGGACATTTTTTGTAGCCGGCTTCTTGAATTTAGGAAAGAAATACAAAATTAATACTTTATTAACAAAAAACAAACAGTTCATTTGTATTTTTGCAAGTGTTTAATTGTTGAAATTTAGATTTTAAATATGTTTTTTCTTTCTGTAAACTTCAGCCCATAAAATTTTAACATGTTATGCCCACATATTTAGAGTTACATTTCGGTTTTATAATATTGTAATTGCTTTGTTTTTTAATATGTAATTATAACTTGTTTTTAATTATTATAATATTATTGCTAATTATTATAGCCACCTTTATGTTTTCTGACGGGGATAAAAATCTGATATTTTCGGTGTTGTTAAAAACAGTCTTATATATCATCTTCATCAGCCTATTAATGTCCCCACTGCTGGGGCTGCCTTCCCTATGGATGGAATAGGGATACTGGGCCAAGACCCACCACGCGGGCCCAGTGCGGGTTGGCGGGTGCTAACGACTGCAGAAGCAGCAGGGACCAACGGGTTAACGTGCCTTTCGAAGCACGAAGGACTCTAGATTGAAGATTTTTGGTCACCCATCTAATGACCGACCACTGCGAAAGTTGCTTAACTTCAACGATCGCAGCCGAACGCTTACCACCCATCGAGCTCTTCAAAGAATTAAGTCTAATGTAACCATAGAGATAAATCAAATCACCCTACCTAGCTTTGACACTAAGCGGGCAATAGGGTGATGACTATTTTTTTTCTTCGTTTATCAGGTAGATTATCAAAAAGTATTGGACACGTATATTTTCTTTTTTCACATAATATAAACATTTCAGAGATATATTGATTTGAATGTGAATGTCACGTTTTACAATTAAACAACTACAATTTTCACCCATAAGTGACGTCACGAGTCCCTACTCCCAAACTTTGACGCGCTATAACTTTGTAATTTTTTGGTTGATTGCCCAAAGAAAAAATATGTGTGCATTATTTTTTGATCATCTAACTGACGAACTAAATAGAATTTCGTTTACTGTACCCCGTCATCACCCCTATTGTTTACCACCTGGGGCATTCTATTTGTTCTATTGCTTCCAATCCAGCCTGGAATATCTTTCACCAAACATTTGAATATTGTAGCATTGCCTCATCCAAAATAAACTATTGCCGTGCAATAGTAATGAGTTAGAAACAACAAGTCAGACAACTCTAAAATTATATCTAACAGTAACTGCATTCACAATGACAGCTCGACACACTGTCACTCGCTCCGACTATTAACAGCAAAGTTAAATCGAGTTTCTCGATTAAGAATACTGTGGAGTGTAATATGCATCAATTATTTCGTTCTTATACCCCATTCCTCTTATTAATAAACAAGGAATAAACTTGGAATACTTACGCCGTGTTTTATTCACGTCACTCAAATGTCATTTGTCATTTAATGAACAAAGATAAAACATGAAGTAACTTATCCAAGCTTAATCTTCGTTTATTAATAAGGGGGCATATGATCCGCCATATTATGGTAGCGACAAGCAGAACCTATAAACGCTTACGATTTTTTTTTAAGTTAAAATCAAACAAGGAGCTCGATGGCGTAGGTGGTTAGCGCGTTCTGCTTCGATCGTGGAAGTTAAGCAACTTTCGCAGTGGTCAGCCATTGGATGGGTGACCAAAAATCTTCTGTCTCGAGTTCCTCCTTGCTTTAGTAGGCACGTTAAGCCGTTAGCACCCGCCAATCCGCACTGGGCTCGGCGTGGTGGGTCATGGCCCAATTTCCCTATTCTATCTATATGAAAGGCCTGTGCAATAAGGTAAGTTTGTAAGGTGCAATTCCCCAATGGGCTGCAGGCGACAACTAGCTAGCGCCTGCGGCTGACCGTGCATTATATGCATTGTGCAGCCGCAGCATGTCGCCGCGCTCGGAATCAATCTCATATACCTCGTTTACATGCAGGGCGAGTAAGGAGGGAAGTGGGCAGGGAAGTGGGCATGACGAGTATGTAAACGATACTCGTCATGCCACTGCCATTGCCCGGCGCTCCCCATAAGAGCGGTTTTTTGTGCGGAAGTCAAAGGACCGGCATGCAGCGCGAGTGGCAATGCGTGTTCACACTCTGCGCGTCGCTTAGTTCGCACCACGCGCTTGGTGGGGAAAGATGTGAAATTAAAAATTAATTAATTAAATATTAATTAATAATTAATATTTATTATTTAATAATAAAAATAATATATTAATTAATATTTATTCATATTAAAATTATTAATTACTTAAATTTCGAACATAATTATGGATTGCAAAAAGACACAGCGCGGCCGCTGTTATTACTTCGACATCTGCCATTGCCGAAACTCTGAAGCGAAGTGAGAGGTAGGCCAGTATGTAAACACATACTTCTCTCAATCATGCCGCAGAAATATTTAGGGAATTATTGCCGGCAACGCGAGGGGCAGCGGCATGGGCATAGTCTAAACGAGGTAATAGAGATTCATAGAAACTAGTAGTGTCGTCTGCAGTCTGCAGCTGCGGCCTGTGGTCTGCGGTTCAGTTCGGACTTGTACCTTTATGGATTTCAAATATATATAGTTAGAGTATTCTTTTTTCAAAATTAAATCAAAACAATTAAAAAAGATTACGTACTTATTTTCTTTTAATGCGGGTATAAACATAATACTCACTGAAGAAACACTGTACCACCGGTATGCGGTACCATCCAAAAGGTAGTTTTATTGCGGATGATGTAGTGCGATTTTAAAACCGTTATCACGAAGGCAGAATTGCTGTCATGAATTTGAAATACACACCAAGATATTTTGAAAATGATAACGCTAAGGCATTTTCGCGGCGATATTTTCATAAATATAAAATCGGCTTTATAAAAAACTTTTGAATTATAAGTTTAGTAAAGTCTTTTATATATCGCACGTCACAAACAAAAGGGTATTATCTTCAAAAACAGTGTTTTGAGATATCGCGTTTTGAAGTTATAAAAAATCATAGAAGTGGAACTACTTGTTCAAACGTTTAAAATGATACCTTGATTTGAACGTACATTATCCTTCTTTGTGTTGAGTAAGTTCAGTTAGTGTATCAATAGTAGTTTTTATTTTAAAAGTACTTTTATGTGACTGGGTAAAGAGCATACCCTATATGCAGTTCAAATGGCTCATGTTAAAATTAAAACTAGTATCATTTTAAAATAATTTCGCTGAAAATAACATATTAAATAAAATTGAACAGGCCAGAGGGTATTATTTTAAATAAAACTTCAAACTTGTATTAATCCGAACGGGCAATAGGGTATTAACTTAACATAATACTGTTTAGAATACTCACATTCATAAATTTTGCTAAGAAATTGACGACATGTGTTGCTGTAATTCAAAAACTCTTATGAATTAAAATACAATTATCTTACCAGTTTATAGAGAGAAAAATGTAGTTTTCGAAACGCAAATAAAAAAATAAATGGTTGTGCCGACTTAATACCCTATTGTTTGTGACGTGCGATATATACCTACATCGAATATGCCCCTTGTTTCCGTGCAGATGAACGTATCTTCGGCCTGTATCGACGCGTGCAACTTCAGGCTGGACATGGAGAACATCATGGACCGCCCAGAGTGCATGAACGACTTCGACAAACTCATGAAGTGCGCCGCAGACGGATCAGGTACTATAGAAAATAATAATAAAAACTTCGGGTTGCATTCCGGGCGTGCCGGCAGAAGTGAAAACTTAAATATTAGGGACTTTTTTTTAATTGAGACGTTAACCAAAAAAAAAGTCTTTCGAAGGTAGCTCGACAAAGTAAATAAAATCATAATGCCTGAAAAGGATGCGAAACGTCATAAATAAATAAATCAGTGCATCTTAAAATTCCACTTGAAATTAGAGAAGCTGAAAGCTGCAAATTTTATTCGAAATTAAAGAATGTATTACTTAAAAAGGCGTATTATAGTATTAAAGAATTTTTAGAGGACAAATCTTTTTAAATGGATGTACCTATTTGTTTATTTTAATTCGCATGCCTTGTGGTGAAATATGGAATAAGCTTCTAACGTATTATAATTTTACACCTTTGTATCACCTGTATTTGCAAATAAATAATTGATTGATTGATTGTTTTATTGCTCAAGTAAACGCGAAAATTTCTGAATGTAAATCCAAATCCAAATCAACGATCTTCGTGGCCGAGTTGTTTGTACGCCGGGTTTCATGGTGTCGCCGACTCGAGAGGTCCTGGGTTCAAATCCCGGTGGGGGCAGATGTTTGTGTGATGCATACGAGCATTTGTACTCCAGTCATGGATGTTTAATGTGTATTTTCTATATAAATATACTTATATATGAACAGTATATGTATTCTATCTGTTACCCTAGCATCCCATAACACAAGCCTTATAGTGCTTACTTTGGGGCTAGGCTTATTGGTGTGAGTGTTGGAAATATTTATTTATTTATTATTTATTTAAATATTTTGATCATAAGATCACCGTGGCTGCTGCGCTTCATGGGGCGTGCCGCGCGCGTGCCTGGAGTTATGCCGCGGGGGCAGCGTGTCGCGGTCATGCGCGCTGCAGCACGCGCGCCGCGCGCTGGCCTGCTTCCGCGACTCGGGCGCGCGCCTGCCCGGGCCCCCGCGCAACCTGCGCGCGCACCAGGCGCCCACTCCGCACGCCGTGCTACTCAGGTACCAATCTAGATCAACGGAAATTTGGTTTTGCAGCAATAAATCTTCCATTATAGTAAAAGTAATCTTTATACATATAATTCTTCTGTGAGTGTGTATGTCACTGAACTTCTCTTAAACGACTGGACCGATTTTGATGAAATTTTTTGTGTGTGTTCAAGGGGATCTGAGAATGGTTTAGATTCACAATTTTGTCCGCTGGACAATGTTTTTTTAATTAATTTTTAATTTATTAGTAGTTGTTGATTTTGGAATGTTTTACATTGGATCCGATAGACGGCGCTACCATACTAGACAGGACAACGTCTGTCGGGTCCGCTAGTAGTAATATAAGTTATTTACGGGATTGTTACCATGTACCTTGTTTTTAGCGAGTTTCCGATATTTCGGCACTGTTGCAAGCGCCATGATCACGGAGTAACTGAAGTGATTGCGGGTAGGCTGTTATTGGCAGACATATCGGTCTACCCTCCGACGAAGTCTTTTATTGCGTTCGATACCCGTGCCACTGTTCACATTCTCACTATTTACTCGAAACTGTTCTCGACACACAACACTTACAGTATCGGATCGCGACACGACACTTTTTTATACTTTCCGGTTTTACACATACTAACCACAGGATTCCAGACACTCGACAATTTAAACCCGTCTCACGATTGAAATTTTTATATTTTGTTATTTCAATAACTTATAGTACTATAATGTTAGTGACCACGAAAGTTTAAAACAATATATAGATCTTCCAGTTTTGAAATCTTCATGGATATGGACATCATCAAAATAACAGATTTTATGCGGTGTTTTCTTCATGGCTATTGCTCATTAGTATTTCTGATTTCCCAATTTTTAAGCGACAACACCAAGTTCTTTTTAATCACTACTCTTTTGTGATTCCAAAAGGCGCAAAGCCTTATTTGCCACTTTGTGTTGCAACAACATGAGTCCTCCTGCCCGCCTATTTTGCTCAGTTCAAGGGCTCAGTGAAATGGACAGGAACCAATTCATTAAATATTACCACAGATAACACTCCTGCACGGTCGGCATTATAAGAACTGAGGTTCCCAGAATGCGTACCAAGAAAGAGTGCGGGAATGCCATGGGAACGTGGTTCTGTAGGTAATGTTAAGATAAATATGTGAGGGTACATAAATTCCACAGTCTCAGCTCCTACGCTGGACGCTGTTATAATCACTGCCTACAATACCAAGATCCAATTTATTTTAATTAACAACTTATTTGACCCCGAACCGCAAACCTTTCAACGTTGCTGATTTAACCGAAAGCAGTTCTGATTTAATCACAAAGTTTAACATCATCAATTATTTCTTCCAGCTGGGATCCGCCAATGAAGAACCCGCAAACTGTATACCTATACCGGGTGTTCTGGCGAGCGTACGGCGACAAAGTACCAGAGAAGCTGGACACCAGCGAGACAAGCGTGGTGCTGACTGGTCTACTGGATGATAAGCGATACGAGTGCGTCGTCAAGTCAGCTAATGACTTGGGTGAGTTGCTTTTTATGACCTGCGGGCCTACCACCTAAGCGGAAGGCCTGGCGACCTAACAGCCTCAGACAGACTCAGGCTGTTCGGGCTACCTAATCAACTGTGGAAACAAGAATTGGCAGAATACATGATGCTATTTGGGTCTTCTAGAAGCCGTAAAATAGAGGCGAGTCTTGAATTTGGATGGAAAATCGGAGGTTCTTTTCAACTTTTCATCAATTATAGCTTCTTCTTTGCCTTTTTATATTCTTGGACGGTTTTGTCCTAGTTAAACGGTTATGTGTAAAGATTAGAATAAAAAAAAAAGTAAATAATTGACTAAAATTTAATAAAATCGGGAAACCCAAGTTACTTATCCCAGCTCCCCCAGCATGAGCACCTCGATATCTTAAATAGCTTGTTTTTATCACACTCAATTGTCAAATAACTATGGAGTTAAACGCGATACAAAAACGTGATATTATGTAAATTGTGGTGCTCATGCTGCGGGGCTGAACGAGCTAATGATGTAGATCAGACATTTTGTTCCAAACTTGATTTGACCACATCCAATGCTTCACCCAGGCACCTCATCATTGAGTGAAGCGATAACCTTCACGACCATGGGACAAGAGACTGGTGCGGCAGCTGCACCGGTCACGAGCGCCGGCTCAGCGTCGGCCGTAGGTCTGGCTGTGGCCTGCATACTAGTCGCTGCCATACTTCTAGCTGCGGGACTTTACTATAGGCATAGAAAGGTATTGTATACCACGATGTTGGGAAGTTTCTTGCAGGCAGTGCAGTGAGGATTGCTGGATCAGCTATCTTAGCCTCTGGACTTCACCTACACGTAACTTCAGGAGAAATAAAGTTGACGAGGCAAATTTCTCCTCGCCATCTGTTAGATGTAAGAGTATACCAAACGAGAAGAACTCTGGTGTGAAATTGTTCCTAATGTACATGCCGCAACACCCGTTCTCATGCTAGCTTTTGAACGAATACGTACATTTTGTTTAACTTTATACAAAGTACACAGTTTTACCATAAATGTATAGCATTGTTGAGCTAAAAATTTTTTATTTTATTGAATTAAGATGATATTTTATTTGTCCTAATTTTAACTTTGTCTTGCAGAATCTTAGACTTAAGGCGCAAGGTGGTGTAGCATTTGAAAACCCCAGCTACCTCAGGGAACCAAATCCAGATACTATAGTTAACGTAAGTATGAAATAAAAAAAGAAGATTTCATTGAAATTATCTATAAAATGTGCTGGTATAATGAAGTCAAGTAAAGCTAGCTCTCAAGATGAACCAAGCAACGATTTTCACGTTAAAAAGCGACAATTAAAATCCTCATTATTTCTAACTGTTTTATGAAACAGAAAATATGATTATGTTGTATTGGTAGCGACATGATTTTATGTAGACGAGGCTACTTCTATTAAATGCAGATGAGTTTCTTGCGCCCATTCTTTTCATCAGCTAAGAGATGTCCCGAATATCCATTCAGGAGGTAGGAAAAGATATTCTAAAGAGCTTTCAAGAAATCAATCATATTTTCATTATATTTCTTAAATTCTCAGGGCACGGTGCCGAACGGTGGTTCGAATGGCACCAACGGCGCCTCGAACGGAGTGCCCAATGGTGTTCCCAACGGTGTATCGAACAGTACGGCTTGGCGGCAAGAGACACTGCAGAACCCGACCGCCGCCATCCCGGCCGCGCGGGAGGTGGACCCCACGCTCTACGAAGAGCTCAAACTCGGCCAGGACGGCGCCGGCTTCAAGAGACTGAAGCCATAGCCCGAGGTAAGAAGCCATCTTCAGTTTCCTTCTTCGAGATAGGAGACGTTGCAGAACCCGTCCAGTGCCATCCCGGCCACGCGTGAGGTGAAAACCACGCTCTCCGAAGAGCTCAAGCTTGGCCAGAACGGCGCCGGTTTCAAGAGATTAAAGTCATAGCCCGAGGTAAGAAGCCATCTTCAGTTTCCTAACCATATGCCCAACGTCGTATCGAACAGTACGGCGTGGTGATACGTGACGTTCCAGAACCTGTCCAGCGCCATCCCGGCCGTGCTCTACGCGGAGCTCAAACTCGGCTAGGATGGCGCTGGCTTCAAGAGACTGAAGCCAAAGCCCGAGGTATGGAGGTCATCTTAAACCGTATAACCAGGAATTTATCAAATAGTACGGCGTGGCGACAGGAGACACTGCAGAACCCGACCGCCGGTGCCATTCTCTACGAGACGCTCAAGCTTGGCCAGGACGCCGCGCCGGTTTCAAGAGATTGAAGCCAAAGCCCGAGGTATGCAGGTCATCTTGAACTATATTACCAGCAGTACATCAAACAGTACAGTGTGGTGACAGAAGACGTTGCAGAACCCGTCCAGCGCCATCACGATTATGCAAATGGATCCAACGCTCTGCGAGTAGCTCAAGCTCGGCCAGGACGGCGCCGGCTTCAAGACACTGAAGCCATAGCCCGAGGTATGAGGTCATCTTGAACAGTGTATCAAACAGTACAGTGTGGTGACAGAAGACGTTGCAGAACCCGTCCAGCGCCATCTCGGCCGTGCGGGAGGTGGACACCACGCCCAACGAGGAACTCAAGCTCCGCCAGAACGGCGCCGGCTTCAAAAGACTGAGGCCATAGCCAGAGGTATGTAGGTCATCTTGAACAATATTCCCAACGGCGTCTCGAACAGTACGGCGTGGCAACAGAAGACGGTGTAGAACCCGTCCAGTGCCATCCCAGCCGCGCGAGAGGAGAGTGGACCTCACGTTCTACGAGGAACTCAAGCTTGGCCAGGATGGCGTGGGCTTCAAGGTATGTATCTTGAATTTCCAAACCATCATTCAACATCATCGTCCTATTAATGACCCACTGCTGAGGCATAGGCCTTCCCTATTGATTGAATAGAGAGATTGGACCATGGCCTACCCCGCGGGCCCCGTGCGAATTGATGGGTGCTAATGACTGCAGATGCAGGCAAAGCCAATGGCTTAACGTGCCTTTCGAAACACGGAGGTGCTCAAAATAGTAAATTTTTGGTCACCATCCAAATTCTCTTCCATCGTTCCTCAAAGCATAATTTTATTACAATGATTTATACACTTGAATTGAAAGCATTCTGATTTGACTTTCTGTAAATAATTTGGTTTTTGAAAGAAAAGATTACATCTAGTGCCATTCATACCAAATTTCATAAATGTAATTAAGAAAAACAAAAATGTTATTTGTGATAATGATTTAAAAAAGTTGATGCATGTGGCCCTGAAACTTGCTTTTAATTGTCAAGAATTTAAGTGCAAATTAATTTGTTGTAAATATACTTACTCCAACCCGTGATCCAAAAATATAACAAAGTTTCTGTTCGTTCAGGTAGCGCGCCGATCCCCGCTCCGCTCGCCGCGACTGTCGTCGCCGCGGGTGGCGCCGCGCTACTGAGCTGCAGCGGACCCGCGCGCGAATTTATAGGCTCCCCTCCAGAGAGACAGCCTACAATCATCTCTTTCTCACACACATACAGTTCAAGAAGAAAATATAAATAGTGCTTAACGTACAACTCCAATTTAGAAATACGAAAGCAAAACTAGACCAAGACATTTTAAAAAGATGTTGAATTAGTAATGAAAATAATAAATTATGTGAATATTCAAACGCCACGCGACCGTAGCGGAGTATAGGAACTAAAAAGTATTGTAAGAAAATATATTTTCAGTATCATACTAGATGTGATTTTTAACCAAAAAAAAAAAGACCTCAACGTACTTCTTATCATTTCGTGTAAATATTTTTCTCGAGACGATATAGTCGTAGTTAGTTACTTCGAAGTGGAAAATAATGTGAAAATTATTAGGTCGTTCCCTAAAAAAATGTGCCTTCGAACAATTTATGAAGTAGGTAGTGATATACAATATATTAGTGATAGTGACCCTTCGGCTTGTAAATACATAACATTCCATTGTAAAGGTATATGTGCACTCAGCACTGCGACTTTCCATAGATTATCTTCGTTCAATGACTTAATGAAAACTTTTTTATATAGATAATGGTGTCGATTCTGGCATGATTCTCGAATCCTAAACTAAAATTTTACAACAGTGTATACTTGTTGTATTCTCTATAAAGAATAAAAAATAAGAGACTGTAATTAAAATTAGTTTTAGATTTAGAGACTCGCGCCAGAATCGACACCAGAGAGAAGTCTTACCGACTTTACTCTAACATAAAGTTGCGTGAAAATATCTTGAGTTTACAGTCAGTGCAAACAAACGATATTTGATGATGAAACGGTTAATTACATTACACTGTCATACTTGACACTGACAATATTCGACAAATCTTTCTTATTTGCTTTCTAGAGAGACATAGCATTGCTGAAACGCACGAACCTCGCTCGTATATGAATTGTAATACGATTGATTTTACATTGTTATCGCTTTAACGCCACTTCATTATACTTCCCTGACCTACAACCTGAAACATATCAGTAACAACAAGTGGTAATATAGCTTTCCCTTACAACCTTTATTATTTGATAATGATCTCATTAACGTGTGAAGTTATTTTCGCTTACCAATAACAACGTAGCCAAAATAGTGTATTATAAATCAGTAGCTATTCTATAAGAACAATCTCACTTTTCACCTCATAAGCCGAGGTGTCATTTAAAATTAGAAGAGGAATTTCAATTAAATTTCAAATCACACCATCGAATTCCGCGGGGAAGAATGAGTTTGTTCTCACAGAATAGCACCACAGAACAGCGAAGCATTGCATTTTCCGGTTTATTTTTTTTATAATTGTTACCGGCTAAACCCGATTTCAGGACAAACTAGTTTTGCCTAGGCTAAACTAGTTCTTCCTATACGCGATAGGATTAACTAGTATAGCCTAGTCCAAACTTATTTGTCCTAAGCCCGATAGGATAATCCAGTTTAACCTAGGCCAAACTAGTTGATCCTGATATAAATACGCATACTCTAGGATAAACTGGTATGGTCTAGTCTTAACATTATAGTATTACTAGAAAGTCAATAGATAAACTGAATAAAATTCTATGTAATTGAAAAAATAAGATTTTTTATTAAAACCATAATGAATCATCGTTAAAAATTACGGATAATTAGAAATACAAACATTCATACTATAACAAATAATCAACAGCAACATCCAGCATCAAACATTAAGAATTAATGTTATCTATTGACTTTCTAGTTATACTATAATGTTAAGACTAGACCATACTAGTTTATCCTAGAGTATGCGTATTTATATCAGGATCAACTGGAACATGGATGTAAGGAATTAAGAAACAACAGAAAAGTGGGTGTTTTGAAAAGGGAGAAATTGCCTTATTTTAATAGAGTTGGTTTATCAGTGTTATCAGAAAATGCTCTGCTCCTTTTCGTGGGTTACCTTATACACTACTTGGGCGCCATCTATCGGATGGTCTAGTGAAACTATATTGCGAACACTAGCGAAAATACCCTCATCTGAAACAATGTTACCGTTTCTCTGTAAATTTTGTTTGAATTATTGTAATTACACAATAATTGTTATATTTTGTATTGAACATGCCATCATATCCACAGTGGAAGCTCTATAAATTGCTCAGATAATAATGATGTGATGGATAGATAGAACTCTTGTCCTATACTAATGGTGTATTAATAATTTTAGATAAAGACGGATGTGATTAGATTTGTAAATAATAATTGATAAAAAAATAATAAAAAATACAAATATTTAAGTGTGTGTTTCATTTTTACTTTAACATTATGGTAGAAGGATTAGAAAATGTACCTGCATCTATTACTTGATTTCAAATTATTTGAGAGCACTACCTGATTCTGTTATCATCAATTTATTGGATATTCTACCTTCGACATGCACTGTTCCCATTCCTAGGGCCCATTCGCCTAACGGGATTGCTATGGAAAACGCTATCGCTTACGATTTCATATTGTTATTTCTAACCACCTGAGGTTTTCAAATGCCTCGCGCTCTTTTTTTTGCTTTTGCATTGGTAATAACAATATTAAAGAAAATGAGCGTGAGGTATTTGAAAACTTTCGGCGGTCAGAATAACAAAACAAAACAAAGTAAACGATAGCGTTTTCCATAGCAATCCCGTTAGGCGAATGACCCCCTGGTTTTTCCAGTTGTTCAACTCAGTTTATTGGTATTCTGGTCTGGCCATTGAGAATTTTATCATTGAATGCTATGTTGTACAACTGGTGTGGTGGTACAATTTTTTCCAAACAGTTCCATGGGACGGACAAGACGTAATACCAATTAATGATGGAACTAGTGGGAAAGACGGAATTATTGATATCCTTTGAACTTTCAGTATTTGAATCTGAGGAAGTAGAAGTTCTTTGTATGCTTCTGTTACCCAAAAATGAAAAATTGGGATTTTTCAAATCGAATACAACGAAGGGTAACTAATATGCAAGACGAGAAAAAATAAACCTCATTTTTTGTTCGAAATTCTTGAGATTTCGTAGCACTTTGTGATGGTTTTTTGGACTGGGACTTAGAGCACGCTCACTCTCAGATATATCCCTTTATTCCCAGTAGCTAGTTAGTCAATGTAGCCAAGTCCACATGGAATTACAGAAACCTTAAAAAAATGAATATTTTGACTTGCTGTGAAACTTGGTTATCGCGATCGAGCGAAAAGATCAACATAATCTACTTTATTTTACAAAAAATTAAGAAAAATATGTAAATCCTGTTAAGACCTCATGAAATCCAGAGAAATTGTAACTTTAACTGAAGTAAGTGTACTTCCCCATTCATTTCACGTCAACCATGACTAATATCAGTCAGACTATTAATGCCCCATCTGCTGGGGCTTAGGCCTCCCCTATCAGTAGCGGCGCTAGGCGTTGGCGACGTCGGCCACCGCCGAATGCCTCGCGCCTGAGGAGGCCTCGCAAAAAATTTTTACAAGTTACCTATTTATTTTCGTTTCTTCTGGCCTGGCTTCGGTAGCCGACCCCGAACAATTCGGGAAAAAAGCGAAGCAGATGATAATGACTTTTATTATTTTCGAACACGTGCCTGATGGAAGCGAGTAGTACTTTACGGGTATTCAGAATCGTCTGTCTAGCAACACTATTTTTGTAATTAAATTTCTATTTTAAATTTTTTTTTGTCATCATTTGTTTATCAACAATAAAACTCGTTTACTCATACGTTATTTTATAATTTGGTTCAGTTAATTTAACGATTTTTTACTGCGAAGTAAAATAGGCATCCCGAACTTGATGTCGCCGACGTCCACATGTGGTCTAGCGCCGCCACTGTCCTCTATAGATCGGAGCCGTCATAGAATGCCTAACGGGGACCCCGCGGCTTCGCATTAAGCAGTGTAGAAGGTATTCGCAGGACTTTTTTAGCGGATATTATGCCGTAAAGCGCCCATAAGGGTTGCGGGGTCCTCGGTGGTCAGCTACTGGGGGGTCCGTAAGACTTGCGGGAGCCAGGTGTGAGGTCCGTTCGGCGGTGTGCCTCTTAAAGGCGCCGTCGTCTGTAAAAAGATTTTTTACCTGTGTGATAAAAAAAAGGCCTCCCCTATAAATAGAATTAGGAGATTGGTCCGTGCGAGACCCACCAGGCGGGCCTAGTGCCAATCAGTGAGTGCTAACGACTGCAGATGCAGCCGAGACCAATGGGTTAACGTGCCCTCCAAGCGTGAAGAAGCTCGCTATAATAAGATTTTGGAAACCCATTCAATGATCGACCATTTCGAAAGTCGCCTTCCAGAAAGTTAATGCTCACTTAAGCGATACCAATTACTCTAATATTATAAAGGCGAAAGTTTGTGAGTGTGTATGTTTGTTACTTCTTCACGTCTAAACGGCTGGAGCGATTTTAATAAAATTTGGTATGGAGTTAACTGACACCCTGGATTAACACATACGCTACGTTTTACTGCACGAAAAGATCCCTAATAAACCGCGGGTAACACCGCGGGCACAACTAGTACAGGAATACATTGGTGTCGATTCTGTCATGAATCTCTAAACCTAATTTTTTTTTTAAACACACATCAATTAGCCTAGCCCCAAAGTAAGCGCTGTAAGGCTTGTGTTATGGGATACTAGGGTAACGGATAGAATACATATACAGTATATATATAAGTATATTTATATAGGAATACATGTTAAACATCCATGACTGGAGTACAAATGCTCTTATTCATCACACAAACATCTGCCCCCACCTGGATTTGAACTCGGGACCTCTCGAGTCGGCGACACCATGAAACCCGGCGTACAAACCACTCGACCACGGAGGTCGTAAATTTAAATTTGACAACAGTGTATCCTTGTCATTCTCTATACAGAATGAAGGGGAGGCTGATGTTAAATTTAGTTTCAAGTTTAGAAAATCATGCCAGAATCGACACCAATGTATTTCTGCACTAGCTGCGCCCCGCGGTGGTACCCGCAGTTAATTAGGGATATTTTCCCGCAGTAAAACGTAGCGTACCGTAAAATGTTCCTACTTTGCTCCTATAGGGGTAATTATGCTCCAATTCTCTTAAATGTTTTATCACTTAATATGTCCAAATCGGTGCAACATTTGTTATAAAACCTATTTTGGTTTATATAGATACTTAAATGTTTGTTTTTAATTTAAAATTTAAATGTCATATCAGCTGATTTTACTTGTCCATTAAAACTCTTGCATTTCTATTCTCAAGCATCAATCAAGCCTCGTAGGCGCTCCGCGTCATTGCGATAATGCACGGTTCCCAACTTAGGGGTTTTGCCCCCAGATTTAGGGGCTAGAAGTGTTAAAACGGACTTTTTAGGGGCTAGAATTTTTTGGGGGTTCTTTTAGGGGCTTTTATCGAAACTTGCAATTAAATCGAAAAACAAAGCGTGTGTTTTCTTTCAGTTTTGTGCGTAGAATGGAACGCACCAGAATATGAAACGACTGAACTGACTGTGTGGCGGGTTGTTTCCTAAGGCTGTATGGACTAAAGTTAAAAAAACAGCTAAATAAGATTTAACAGTGTGTCAGCTCATTTTCGATTCATTGTCCTTTCGGAAAATGTATTTATTCAATAAAATAATTTAATGTAACTAATTAAGTAACGTTTTAATTTATGAGCAACGAAAGAATTTGGGTAAATTGTATATTTAGGGGATTTTAGGGGAATTTAAAAAATACTTAGGGGTAAAATTTGGTAAGGGTTGGAAACACTGTGATAATGCGCTTTACTTCTATGGCATATTATAATATTGCAGGAGTGTGTAACTTCGAAGCCGTTCTAATACATAATGACGACCTCCGTGGCCAAGTAGTTTGTACGCCGGGTTTCATAGTGTCGCCGACTCTAGAGGTCCCGGGTTCGAATCCCGGTGGGGGCAGATGTTTGTGGGATGAATACGAGCGTTTATAATCCAGTCATGGATGTTTAATACGTATTTCTATATT